CCCTTTCTTGAGCTGTTGTGAGTTTACGTGAGACGCGGCGAGTTTCGAAATTCCGCCGCCTCCCGTGAAAAGACCCTCACCAGCGACATCACCGCTGACGAAAACACCACCAACGCCACCGCCGGTTGCGGCTGCCTCACCTTGGGAGCCATATCCTCTGCCGTAGCCGCCTACACCCACTGTGCCCGTCGCGGCGGACCCCTGGCTGCTGTTCGGGGCGGCAGCGTCACCGCTGGCCCCTGTCGATGCCCCTACGTCACCGCCGGACTCCTCCTCCTGCTGAACACCTCCAACATCCAACGCTCCCCTCATCAACGATGGAAGCTGGCTCATCACCTGGCTCATCATGGCTTGCATCCTGCCTTCCATCGCTTCGCCTGACCGCTGTTCCATGCCAGGCAACCGAGCGTCCAGTTCAGCGTCGTTGACGCTGGCTGCTGGAACCCCTGCGTCACCCTGATTCAACGCCATGGTCCGCTCTGTCAAAGCAGATCTTCCCGGGAAGAAGCGCTAGCGTGTTCGTGAGCTCTGGCAACAGTACTTGCCGTGCGGACTTGGGGCTGCTGCTTAACTGGTTGAATTAGCACGCGATAGAGAAGGCACGAAGGGAGAGAGAGCGGAAGGAGAGAGTGCCCCGAACTCATGAGAAGAAAAAGGGGCTCCGCGCTCTCACCAAACTGTCTCGTCACAAACCTCTCCAGGTATATCCTATCTGCGTCCTACGTAACGGCTACTTTTGGCTTGTCTACTCCTACGTACGAACATGCTTATGACTTTCTCTGGAAGTTGAAGCACCAGAAAACAAATTAAGTCAAACGCAGCTGTCATCCGGACGCAAGGAAGCAAGCACCAAGATGCCGAACACGCTTAGCAGGATGCAGCGCACCCTTCATGCGACTCGCCGAATACCTCACGGTGCCTTGCGCTTGGTGATGTGAACCGTCGGAACTGATCTCTACCCGGATGCGTCGCAGAACCACCGCTGCTGCGGGTCAGCCTCAGCCCGATGTGAACTACGGTTTCGGTCCTGCTTTGTCGATCCCCCCACACGCTCCGCGTACAGCTGCCGCTGCAGGCGCTTCTCGTCATCAACCGCGAGTGCCGTCAGCCAAGACCACGCCTGAGCCTTCTGTGGAACCTGTCCCAACGGTGCCTATCGCGCCGCCGGAGACGGTTACCGATGCCCCTATGGGTCCTCTGTTAGGTTTGTCTCAATCGGCTATTTTAGCTGCTACGACAATTCCCGCAGCGGACGCCATGGCCCTCACCATGGTCCTCAAGTCTGCTGAGTTAGAATTCAGTGAGTCCGTCGAACGCTGCACGCGTGCCGATTGGGCGAGGGAATAACAAAAAGAGCCGGTGTGTGAAGCCACCGTCAGCTGCATTCTACTCAAACGCCCTCCGCAGCTACCGGACGATTTCTTTGACAAAGTGGTATATCCCTCCAGTCATCGACCATCGTCTGAAAAAATTCGAGAGCTTGCAACTAATGGACGCCTCGTCACTGGCATTGATCTCCGCCTCTTGGTCAGACAACATTCCAGGCCCCCCCGCTCTCTTCTGACCGTCCCGGAGGACGAGCTTCACGCCTGTTGAATGACGAAACCACTCGTATTTACGTGCTCATGTCAAAGCGATCTTGGGTCATGCAGGCTTGTCATGCCAACGCCCTCTGCCACCTTGGCACCGCTCGCGCACTTAGTTCATTTGGGAGGTTCTGCTCGCGGATCGGAATGAGTATTTGTACCCGTTGGTGGATCCGGCGATGTTTGAAATGTCAGGCCCGCGAAACTGCGCGCCAGACTATTCGCTGGCCGATTCTGACGATTCGTCTACCTTCTGCACCAGGGATAGCGATTAGCGACGACTATTTCGGTCCGCTTCACACAACTCCGCGAGGTTTCTCGTATGTATATCTTGCTTTTCACTGGTCGTTTCAGTCGACCCACATGTACTCTGTGACTGACGCCGAGTTCACCGCTGAAGGTACAGCAAATGTCCTCGTCAACAAGTACATGCCTGTTTGGGAGTGCCCCCTCATCATCCTTTCAGACAACGGTTTGCAGTTGTGCTCCAAACCTTTGGTTGACATCCTGAAACTGCTGCGCGTCCGCCAAAGAGCGACGAGCGCATACCACCCGAGCGGCAACGGCCGAGTTGAGCGCGTCAAACACACATGCCCAAATGCTAGCTGGGGTTGTGCATGAACGACAAGTTGATTCGGATATTCATCTCCCTCATGTTGAACTCGCATACAACTCCGTTAGCGCTGCCACAGTACTGGCGCCCAACAAGGTGCATATGAAAAACCTTCCCCGGTTTCCACTGATCGGTTTTGACAACATTTACGCTCGTGGTCGCCAGTCGCTTACAGGCGACCCAGCTCGAGTATTGCAACCTTGCCACCGATTGGCAACTGCGCTCCTACTACGAGCTACAGTAGTAGTTCGTGAACAACACGCACTCACGGTTTACCGTATGGAACGACGAAACTTGAAACTGTCTGATGCCTTGGACAAGCTGCCCGTGTCGTAAGTCGTACATCATTAGTGCAAGTAATCACGCGTGCTTGTGCTATCATCTCGATTATATGTGTCCTACGTGACAAGTCCGAGAACACAAGTACACACCTCAGCTTTTTCCAGAAGGGTATCTTGGCGTTTGCCAGTATGGTGTCTTGGCTTTTGCAAGTAGGGTGTCTTGGCTTTTGCCAGTAGGGTGTCTTGGCTTTTGCCAGTAGGGTGTCTTGGCTTACAAGTGTGTGTTGTGTGTTTTCGTCCTATTTATTATGGCGACAGTCCCCCCATTTTTCGTGGTCAGACGTGTACTACACTTTTCAGCGTATGTAGAGTACTCTACACTTTTCTGTGAAATTTTTCGTACAACTACAACCATCCAGGGTCACACAGGAGGGGAACACCAGGGCTTTTTTCTTCTTTTTATTTCTTTTCATGCCCCACCTTCCTCCTGCGGTGCGTGCTGAATTTTGTTTCTATCGCGAGAAGGGTCCAGCCGTCCCTTTTCCCTTGTCAACGGTGCTAACGTCGAAGTTTGGTACTCACGAGAGCTTTTCAGCTATATTTCGCTTTCACCCGCAAATTTCGTAATTTTTTCACCCCATGGGGATTCGAACTCACGACCTCTGCAACTAAAGGATTACGAGGATACCACTAGATAGACCACCGGGGCGACCGGTGCCGTATTTCGAAGGCGTGTGTGATTGTTTGACGTTGCTGGGTTTGGTGCTTCGTTCCATGATTTCGAGGGCGAGCGCGTGCTTGGGTGCGGCAGTTCGTCAGAGGCCGAAAGAGAAGAAAAGCTTGACTCAAGACCTTATTGATCAGAGAGAGTAGCTTACACGGGGGAGGCAAGAGGGGGCCCACGCATCATTTCCATCATACAATACACACATCATCTAACTAACCCCCTGAGGCCCCGTAGATCAGTACTCTGCCGAGCACTCCAAACAGCCCCCCTGCGCGGAAAAAGGTACGAGATACGACCCCTTCCTCACGAACTGCCAGGTGAAACGGCAGAGAAATCAATTCCCCAAAACCAACACAAAAAATTCATCAATTCAAGCAAGTCTCCTAAGAATACAATGCTCTACGAAGTCTGTTGATCTCCCAAAAACACTAATTCTACACGAATTCTCACAAAACTTCTGACGTCAAATTCCTATCCATCCCCCGAAAGGTCAGTCAATAAACAAATCATCACCCTTATTGAGAAAATGCGCTACCAAATTCTCAAGCAGTCAAACACAAACAATTAGCCTTGGAAAATTACCCAGCAAAGATCAATACTCGAAATCGCGATCAGAACGCGAACGGATAACTCCAAGAAAATGTGTCAACTCCTCAGAACAAAACCCTCAGATTTATCCTTATGTTTCAACTCATTGACCAGCTCAGACAACCTTCGGAAGCACAATGGTTTCAACCATGACTTACCAAAGCATGCCAAATCCTCCCTCCAATACACAGACCAGCACAAGGTCAAGGTCCACAGACAAGCCGATAGATGAAGTATATTTTGGACTAGACGTGTTCGGAAACAATCGCCCGGTGTAATAAGACGCTCATCAATACTGCTCCAGCTTCGATTCCACCTCATCCACCATTCCATCCAACAGCCCCCCCCCCCTGCTGGGACATATCACATTGACGCAACGAAAATCCTGTCCAACACATCCAATTCCATATCAATTCCGCAGGAAATACGCGGAACATAATCGAACTACCAAGAACCCGATACCAATGTCCCATTCAACACTCGATTCCACATCAACTTCGCAGGTAAAACGCGAGAAAGAATCCAAACTAACAATCAAAGCACTACGTTGCGGAACAACTCCAAATCAAAACAAGACTACAAACTATATCACCGAGAGGTCATAATTCGTCCAGAACATCCGTCTGATCGCCCCCCCCCCTCACTCTCTTTCTTTCCTTATCTCCACTATCATTGAAAGAGCATGCGGCCCTGGAGTCAGTCAGAAAAAAATATCGACATCGCTGTACTCATCCTCGTTAAGACGTTCACCGAGTTGCAACTCTGCTTGTGGGCATCCGTCCAAGACATGTTGCAGCCGATGTCGTTGCAGCAACCGAGACCAGCTGCCGCTACTGCTTCAAACGTATATCCCTGAGAAAAATTAGCTCCCAAAATAGTATCATGTTTGAATGCTGTCTTCCACAATGATTGACTTCCCAATATAACTCCTGTTGTTGTCCTCCGAAGAAATGGATGTCCAAATAGAACTCCATCGTCCGAAATCCGTTGATCCAACTATCAAACCATTTTCCATTAATCCAGGTAGTAGTATCAATCAATAACTGCGCACGCCATTGAAGAACACCCCAAACCAAACACCAAACTTACGAACGACGAGAAACCGCATCACAACTTCAGCTGTTGATTCTCCCCCCAAACGTCAATATCACCCAAATCGCTTCTCAGTACTTCTCAAGATGCCAACACACCAGAAGAATTGTCCGCAGGAGATATCCCCATGAGTAGGGTGGCCAATACTACGCTGCAGAGATCCATCTGCCACGTCAACAAATCGTCAGACAACATCAGGTTTTACCTTTTTGACCAATAGAAAATAAAGATGCGGAGCACGACGCCCCAACCAAGTTACCGCTTATTTACTTTTTTGCCTTTGCCTTTGCCTTTGCCTTTTTTTTTGGCGGTAACCATGAATGGTGGTCGAGTAGATGATATTGTGCGGGGTCGAGAACCCTCACTCAGCGCAAAGGGGAAAATCGCACCACGTTGTGTTAAAATGGTCAAGCACCCTCAAGGCAGTTACACAGTGGTTACAACTGTCTCTGGAAGTGAAAGCGCCAGAAAGTAAATTAAGTCATACGCAGCTGTCATCCGTACGCAAGGAAGTAAGCACAAGATGCCGAACACCCGTAGCAGGATGTAGCGCACCCTTCATGCGACTCGCCGAATTCCTCACGGCCCTTCGCCTTCCAGTTCACAGACTTGGCGCGCTTTGCGCGGGAGAGCACCACCCTACTGTCCTTGCCGCGTCCAGAACGTCCGGACGCGGCGAGGTTGGTCGGCAGCCGGAGGTACCTTCCTGCGGTGAGAGCCGCCGAGGAAGATGTTGCGGTGATGCTTTCTACCCGAAAGGTCCTTCGTCTCCCACTGCTGCAGGCGATGGAGGCAGTTGCGCCACATTTGCTTGGGCCGGTGGTGGAGCTTGCACCGGTGGTGGTGGCACCTGGGCTTGCGCCACCTGCCCTTGCCCCAGTTGCGCTAAATTTTCTTGCACCGGTGGTACCACGGCAGGACTCGGTTTACCGGTGTGGACGATCCTGTACTTTTTTACCCAAAGCACCCACCCATCCCCACAGAATTTGCCGAAAAATTCCCACTTGAACTTGTGCCCATACAGGTAAATAAATACCGCATAGAAAACAGCAAGCACTGAAGAACCCAGTCCCAAGCCCACAGTGACCCAATACTTATCATGATCGTGGTCGTCATGGTAAAAACCGTCCCCTAGCTCGATGTGGACGGCTTCAGCCACGGAAATCAGTAGCAAGACGAATCCCAGCACGGACAGCCCGAATGGGACAATCAAATCCTTGCTTGTAAGGGCATACCGACAACCCGTGCAGAGGGTGCACATCCCCGTCAGTATCGTTGCGGCCAGAAATACTCCGAAGGCACACGTCTGAAAGACAATTTGTAGCTCCTCTTCGTCTGTCAAACCCGTGTCTACCGCTTGCCGCCCCGTCAGCGAGAACAGCAGGAAGCCTGCCATGAAGATGTCCACCTCCCGAATGGTCTGCATCTTCGCCAATGTCAATTCGTGGCAACTCGGCATCACTTCGAAATATCCCTCTGCCCCAAACGTCCCGATAGGAACAGGAACGGGAGCGGAACCAGGAACAGCAGACGCGGAACCTGCTGCATCGGCGATCGCGACATGAACCACCCCAGAGGCTATCTTGACACCAGGGGGTCGCCTGGCTTCTCTCTCCTCATTTTCAAGGACGAGAGCTCGCGCTGCAGCCGCTACGGCATCCTTCTTAGCCGCTCCCCTGTTGATGGCAGCCCCAGCGGCTGCTTTAGCGGCGTAGCTGGCATCGTCGTACGGGAGGTCGCCTTGACGTGAGCAAACAAAGGCGGCCGCAGCCGCGGCAGCCGCGGCAGCATTGGCCGCAGCGATCTCATCCGCCGCGGCAGCGGCAGCAGCGGCAGGAGCATTGACTCCAACAGGGCCAATAACACGGCGGTGAGTCAGACATCTTGCATGGGCAGCTGCTGCGGCGGCTTCGACGGCGGGGTATCGGGAGCTAACGCGGTTCACTGCGCTGGCGACGTCGGCTGCAACTTGCTGAACCGTGATGCCTCTGTTGATACCATTGACGAACGCGATGGCCGCGTCCCTGGAAATTTCTTCAATCTTGTCAATACGCCATCCAACAGCAGCAGCGGCTACCCCGGCGGCGACGGCGCTAGCTACAGCATCGCTGCCTCCTTCCTCCTTGACGGCGAGAGCTGCGGCAGCTGGGGCCTTGTGGGGAGAGACCTCGAGAATGGCAACGGCAGCGGCAGCAGCCAAAGCATGGACATGTGGACGTCCAGCAGCTGGATTGACGATGGTAGCCGCTGTTGTGGTGGCGGCGGCAGCGGCCGCAATCATGCCGGATACTGACTTCCGAACGTAGACCATTCTTGGGACTCTGGTGCTCGTAGCCCACCTGCAGAGAACTGGGACAAGGTGTGCGTTCGCGTGGGCAATTTGTAAAGTACGTCGCTTGTCTACTTGCGAAAAATAAGCGCGCGATGACCCCGCTCGGTCATTGCCCAGGTTGGTGCATCCGTTGGTTCCCACAATGATCTTTGTACTACTTGCAGTGTTATCGATATTACATTTTGTATATTTCTCTTGAAATTGAAAGAAGCGTACCGTGCAAGGGGCTTTGACCAAATCCACCCCATGTAAACGGCACTCAGCGGAACACCACCGTTCTTGAACGTTTAGGGCCTATTGTCGCTAGAGATGACATGAGAGAAAACTCTGTTTTCGTGACGCGGTTATCTACGTAGCACTTGGGTGCCTACGAAACCGCCAACAGCTCCGGGCAAACACAACATACAACCCATGGCAGAGGGTACCCGGAAAATGCTCACATCTACTCCCACCGGTTGTCTGCTTTTCTTTGGGGCTCCACTACTGCTCAAGCAAGCCGCACGTGAGGTGTACATCGTGCGACACATCCTGGCGACGTTTCACGAAGAAGGTAGAGTGGATAGGGTGCTGTCCTGGTGATGCAATACATTCCGTGCGATATTACTTGCGATAACGGCTTGGGGGGTTGCCACAGACGTTCCTACATGTAGCTCCCGCATAGGGGTACCCGGACGAAAACATGATCCCTCGCGGGGCTTCATGCTTATGCATAGTCTAACTATAGACCGGTACCCCGATCCACCCCCCGAACACAATCTCCCACACTACTCGCGGTCTTATTAAGCACCCATGGGACACGCATGGGTCACCCGTGGGCCGCCCATGGGCATGCTCATGTGCACCCCATGAAGTGCCCACCGTGGGCACTTCAACCTGGACCTTCGCCATCGGCATATCAACCTAGAACGTAGCCACCCTTCACATCAACCTAGCATGTACGGGGGTACGGTTAAGGTTAGCGTCGGGGTTATTTGCCGTTATGGTGCCCGTTCCGAAGCAGATGATCTATTTTTAGGAGTACGCTGGTTCGTTCGGTTCAAGACCTCTCTCTCATTGGCCGCCTATGGGCTGCCCATGGGCCTAACGGGGTGACCATGCGCGGCCCATGGGTGACCTATCGGTGACCCATGGGAGTCCCATGGGTCGTTTGGTAAGACTGTAGAAAATGCGGGAGATCCCCCTAACAAGGGCACCTAGGTGATTTTTTTTCGGGTATCCTTCGTCGTTGATGGAGATGAAAAAGTATTGGGAAATAATATTGTCCGACGTAACATTCCCACGATGAGTTTCCAGTCGGTACAGGGCACAAAATCTTTCTCACCTCGCACGAGGAACCGTCAAACCCTTGACTGGACACCTCCTCTTGCTACGCCGAGTGGGAGTACACGCCGCGCAAACGTGACCTGAAAAGTTGTGAAATTGTTCGACAACAAACATAGTGGGCGAGGTACTCGTGTAAGTCTTTCTGCGGGTGGCAGCGGGCGGGACGAGCGAGTTGACTAAGCCGCGGATTGTGACGTGTGTTGAGGTTCCATGCGGTATGGCACATTTCACGGGGAAGACAGTCTCTGGCTCAATTTGGTGTCAGTGTTGCTCACTTGAGGTTTGTTGTAGTAGAGATTACAGATGCTCAGCATGCGAATGATTGGTGAATCTGGCAAGTGCTGAATTTTATTTTTTTATAGCGAGGAGCGATCTCCTATTATGCATATGTACAATATTTACCATTTGTTTGTCGCTTCCACCGAAACAGCCATTTAAATTCCATGGCAGTTGTATTGACTGCCATGGAAGCGGGTTGAATTCAACTTTCATGGAAGCTCCCCAAATGACTCCCATGGAAGTGTGGGCGACTTGCATGAAAGTTCACATAGCGCGGGGTTCCCGAGCAAATTCCATGGATGCTTCATCTTCCGTGGAAATTTGTGGAAGTCAGCTAGCTTCCATGGAAGGAAGTCGCTTGGTGCGCTTCCACGGAAGGAAGTCGATAACACCCACTTCCATGGAAAAATAATATTTGACGTCCATGGATGCATCATCGCACTACTTCCTTATATAGTCTCAATCCTGCGGCAGCGAAGATCAGCAGCGAAGAAGCACTTTAATATTTTATGAGCCTAGAGCTTGTCGTCAAGTGTGCGAACATAGCAGTCCGCTTGGTTGTTCGGGTTCGGGTCAAGACTTAGGATAAGGGTCAATTCGGGGTGCCTGCTTTGACAGTTGGTGTAGGTGGATCTGTGCTGTGGTTTGCGCTTGGTTGGCCGGTGGTGCTCTCTTAATCAGGACGAGAGTTGGTGTTTACGCCGTCTGCACGAGACGCCAACTTCAAGTATTTTCATGGAAGTGCTTGATGGAAGTGTTGGACTACTGCAGCTTTTTTTTGGAAGTTGCCGAGTTTCCTTGGAAGTTTCCGTGGAATCGAGACTACGCTTCCGTGGACTTGCTTGCATTCTTGTTATTGTTGTTATTGTCTTCACATCAATAACCGTTCCGTTCTCGCTGCCCAGTACCTGATTCTGTCCGTACTAGTCTCACACTTGACGGGGTCGATTCCCGTGGCCGCAGGCTAACTTACCCAATAAAAGTTGTACGAATTTAAAATGGACCCCGAGGGTCCGCAAGCCAAGAAGTCAACGACAGATAGTCTAGGCCACTCCGCTCGCCTCTACACGCTTTGCGAGGTAACCCTAGATTGAAAAAAGAAAGAAAAAGAAAACTAACAAGAAAGAGAAAGAGAAAAAGAAAAAGGGGAGAGCAGATGGAGAGAAGGAAATGAGAAGGAGAAAGACACCCGCCGTAGCGACAAACACAACCAAACAAACGGAACAACCCAAGATATTACAAAACAGCACAACGCAAAGCGGGCCACCCTAGCCAGCAAATGCACGTCATCACGCGCGGGGGGTTGGTGCAATGGTGCAGCGCCGGGGCCGGAGGTAGGGGGGGGGGGGGGG